AGGTGCTTGCTGCCGTCTACAAGGCTCTGAGTGACCACCACATCTATCTGGAAGGCACCTTGCTGAAGCCCAACATGGTCACCCCAGGCCATGCCTGCACCCAGAAGTATTCCCATGAGGAGATTGCCATGGCAACTGTCACAGCCCTGCGCCGCACAGTGCCCCCCGCTGTCACTGGTGAGGCCTGGTCCCTTACCTTGGCCTCGGGGAGGTAGAAGGTTTCCCATATTCCTGGGTACTACTGGTCTACTTTCAAACACAACTTCTAAGGCTTCTCCCAAGCCCCTGGGTCTCTGACTCCCTTGTCTTATCCCATTCTGCAGGGATTACTTTCCTGTCTGGAGGACAGAGTGAGGAGGAGGCATCCATCAATCTCAATGCCATCAACAAGTGTCCCCTCCTGAAGCCATGGGCCCTGACCTTCTCTTATGGTCGAGCCCTGCAGGCTTCTGCACTGAAGGCCTGGGGCGGGAAGAAGGAGAACCTGAAGGCCGCCCAGGAGGAATATATCAAGCGAGCCCTGGTAAGGCCAGGCAAAATGTGGGCAGGGAATGGGCAAGAGACGATTCTGAACAGAGACCTCACTCTGACTCTTCTTCTTAGGCCAACAGCCTCGCCTGTCAAGGAAAGTACACTCCAAGTGGCCAGGCTGGGGCTGCAGCCAGCGAGTCCCTCTTCGTCTCTAACCATGCTTACTAAGCTGAGGCATTCTGAGGCGGCCCCCCAAAACTCCAGGCCCCTGCACCACCAACACTCTTGAAAAGGGAGCCTTACCCGGGGCTCCAAGCTTTCTCATCACTCTTGCCTCCCTCGTGACTTTGGTGTGTGGTGTTGTCTGTGTACGCTAACTCCAGCACTCCTTCCAGCCCACTGCCAATAAACAACTATTTAAGGGGGTCTCATGTGTGTATCTGGAGGCACCCTGGGCAGGGGTGGGCCTGAGGTGGTCTTGTTTTGTATTCATCATTCCTGGTAGGAAGTGGGTAGAAGGGTTAGATAGGACCTCCCTTTTGTTTCTTACTTGCCCAGGGCTTTAAGGATTTTTTTTTTTCTCTGAATGCCTTCAGGGCAGGTTTGGCTGGCTTGAGTTGTGGGGCTTGAAGCACCGCAACCTGAGCCTGACTGCTTTGTTGAAGCAGCCACTTAAAGAACTGAGCTAAGGGGCTGGCCCCCGCCCAGGGCTTTAATTTTTGAGATATACAAAGGCATGTTATTTTTTAGATAGGCTCAAAAAAGGGGGGCTCACAATGTAGTTCAGGGTGATCCTCCTACCTCAGCCTCCCCAGTGCTGTGATTACAGGGATGCATCACTACCCCTGGCAAACTTTGTTTGTAGTATGAAGCTTCTTGGCTGTGTCCAAGGGTAGCAAATGAGAGGGGGATGCACAGGTCTTATACTGCATGCAGCCTCGGGACATAGTCTGCGTAGTAGTCCGTACTGGCCTTGATCTTGCCATGTGGCTGTGACTAATCTCAAACTTGCGATCCTCTTGCCTCAGCCTCATGAACAACTAGGATTCCTGTGTTCGCTCTTGGCCTCATTTTCTGCCCCCAAACCCAAGAGGGCCTTTCTCGTCCTCATGACAAAAGAGCTGCCACTATACAAGATGACCTTTTTGGTGATGTGAAGTGGCATGTGCCTTAGTGAAGCTAGGTGAGAGGATGGCTGAGCTGAGGCCAATCTGGGCTACATGTGAGGCCCTGTCTCACAGTTGACCTTTCCTAAACCAGGCCATGTAACAAAGTGTTCTGTCCTCAGTGGTGTTACTGCCAATTTATGTTTGCCCAACACTATTTCTTCTCTGTGGAAATAGGAAATCTAATCCATGTCTTCTTAATCTACACTATTACATTTTGTGTTTCTCCATTGTAACAGAAGATGGAATTAGAAATGTCTTTGTCCTCTTCGGACCAAGGATCCCTTTGAAAAACTGAAAATTATTTCCCATACCTCCCTACATGTAGATACAGAATTGTGACAATCAGGGTCCTGGCTAACGAGCCTCTGGGCTGGGATACACTTGCCTATCATGTATGGGGTTCCAGGTTCAATCCCCAACATTTCAAAGAAAAAAGTTCCATTCCACAAAATCAGGAGGGGCTCAGCCATAGCATAGGCTGTGCCTTGAACCCTTTGAAATCTGGTGTTGGGTTCAGATTAACTACATCAGTTATCACTGTTGTGAGTACTAGGGAACTGGTTAAATTCGTTCAAGTTTTCTTCAACCTCTTCACCTCCATCCTTTACTGGTTTGGGCTCTCTTTTGGTACCAACACTAAACTCAGGACCTTGCACTTGCTAGGCAGGCACTTGTGCTGCTGTGCTAACTTCACATGGGCCCTTTCTACTATGAAGTCTGCTCTCAATGAAGAATTCTTGACTTTTCTGATACTTTGGGTCTACAGGATACAATCTGCTCTCCAGCTCAGGCTGGCCTTGAGCTCACTCTGCCCACGCTGGTCTCATGCTTGCAATGATCCTGCCTCAGCCTTCCCAGTGCTAGGATTACAGGTGTGTGCCACCATGCCCTGCAGAACTGACTTAGCTTAGAAACTTAGGTCTGTTCACATCGTGTCTACTACCTGCAACCAGAAGCAAATCTGGGCTGGGGGTGTGGTGAGTGGTAAGCCCTTTGCATAGCATTAGCAGAGACCTGGGTTCAACCCCCAGCACTAGGGGGAAGAAATACCAGATGTGTGGTACCTTACAATTTCTAGCTTTACTTCACTGCCTGGCCTCACTCGGATCAAACAAATCTGAAGTAAAATGGCAGATCAGAACCTCTCCCGTTTTCTCAGGAACTATTGCTGTTCCCCATTGTCTTTCTCCAATAAATTTTTCTGCTTAATCTAAAAAACAGCAAATAGAAGATGGCAAAAAGGATTATTTCAAAAAGAAATGTGGGGCTGGTGAGATGGCTCAGTGGTCTAAAGCACCTACTTAGAACAAACTAAGCTTAAGCAAAGCACAGGGACCACGGTTCAATCCCCCAGCACCACATGCCAGCCAGCCCCACACCCTGGTGGGCTGAGCTGGCCACACACACACACACTAAATAAATAAATTAATTTAAAAAAAAAGGAATGTGATGTGCAAAGACAGAATGGAAACACATCAAACATACTATCTTGTCCTGCCTGCAGCACAAAACTAAGGATGGGTATTTTTCAGTTTTTTTGGCTGGCTCAGGCTGCCTTAAATGTGGGTCTGGTAAGAGCTGAGGATCTTGGGATTGAACCACAGAATCCTGAGACTGACTGCTTTGCTTAAGCAGGCACTTAAACTAATGGGCCGGCCCTCAAGAAACTAGGGAAGCAGAGGATTTTAAATGCCAATTTGGGAAGTGCTGTCTTAACTTTATGACACTCTGAATTCCAGAAACGATAAGGAGAAAACTGAGAACACAGCTTTCCTTATTTCAAATCTCAAACTTAAAAATCCTAGAGGACCAAGAGATGGAGGGGAGAGGAAGGATTAGAAATAATCAGAATGGGGCCGGGGAGATGGCTCAGTAGAATAAGCGCTTCCCTGGCAAGCACAAGGGCCTGAGTTCAATCCCCGGTTCCGCCAAAAAAAAAATAAAAATAACAATGATAATAATAATCAGAATGTAGGCGGCATGGAGGGCACATTGGTAATCCCAGCCTTCAGGAGGGTGAGGCAGAGGATCGTGAATTTGAGAGCAGCCTGAGCTCAAGGCCACCCTGAGCGGCATACCGAGACCCTGTTTCAAAAAGACAAAACATAAAATTCAGCATGTGTACTGTATATGCCAACTCATCATAACGAGTCTTGTGTATTTCAAACACGTTCCACACATTAAATTCAAGGTCCCCAATTTGTAGCTTTGCAAGCACAAAACTGTAACCTCTCTGAGCCAGTTGGAAGTACAGCTCTCAGGATTACAAAGTTGCTGAGAGCCTCTGGGGGCCATTCTGGAATCAAAGGGGTCGCGCTGACTGAGGCACAGGCTGGGCGTGAGAAAAGGGGGCTCCTGCCCCGCCCCCAGCTTCCGAGTAGTCCCTGGCGAGGACTTCCGGGCGCCGCGGGAAGCGATTGAGGCTGAGGTTCTTCCACACAGCAAACATGTCCACACCGCCACGCCTTTTGGCACAACCGCAACACTGAATGAGACAGAGTTGCACCCCTCTGGACTGCAGCGAGGGAGAACACACACACACACAGTGACAACGCCTAGCCCGAACTCAGCTTCACTTTGTTTCCCTAACTGAGATAAAAGGATCTGTTCCGGTCTGCCGCGCCACTCGCAGTACCCAGAGGACCAACCCACCACAACCGCTTCCCGCCGGTCTCTAGCTTCCGGCTTCTTCGCAGCCCCCCTGGGGGCGGGTCCGGGGCGCGGCGAGGGAGGGGCGGGGAGTTGTGACGCCATATCCGGCGCGCGGCGGAAGTGGTCTCCCTGTGCTTCCGCGGCGGAGCCGGAAATAGAAGTGGCGGTGGCGGCGGCCCAGAGCAGAGGGAAGGAGGGAGGCAGGGAGGCAGAGAACCCGAGCCGGAGTCGCAGCGGCGGTAATGGCTTGAGACACTTCTAGGCCACCGTCCTTAGCTCGGGGCCTCAGGGTCTGACGGGAGTTAGCGAGCGGGCAGTGGGGCGCGGGGGCTTTGAGGCCGACGTGAGGGGAGTCGGGCGGGGGGGGGGCGGGCCAGCCCCAGCGTCCAGTCTCCCCTCTGCGGCCCTCACGGACACTGACCTGCGGGCTCGTCTTCGCCTTTCCCAGGAGACCCCTGTGCGGTGCGGAGGGGGCGGCGGCCCCAACTCTGACCCGCGCGGGGGGCTGGGCCATGGCGGAGATCAGCGACCTGGACCGGCAAATCGAGCAGCTGCGGCGCTGCGAGCTTATCAAGGAGAGTGAAGTCAAGGCCCTGTGTGCCAAGGCCAGGTGAGTCCGCTGGCCCCGGGGAAGGAAGGCCGGGTGAGAGGGTGAGAACTTCGGGCCTGCCCCATCCTGGGGACTTATCCTGGAGATGAGAAGAGGGCCGCTACCCCCCGGAAACACTGTTCTGGGGAAAGGTAGCAGATAAAGCCGCCTTGAAAGTGTTAGGTGTGTTTCCAGGGGAGTCAAGAGTGTTAAAGAAAGTACTTAGGTGGCGGGGGTAGGGCTGTTCTTGGAGGGTCTGAGCTTTGGGGTAGGCCCTGAAGAACCAGGAGGTAGGAACAGGAGTATCAGCGAGAACAATGTCTAAACAATGTCTTAAAGACAGTTCTCCGTGTCCTGGCTTTTTTCAGGCCATAATACAAGAAAGTGGCGCTGGATCTATGTGGGTGTGAGAGCCTAAAAATCATAGTAAAGGAGCTAGAGTAGACTTCAACGTGGTGTGGAGGAGGGAGGCCCGAGTCGGAGTTCTGTAGGAAGTAGAATGCTGTCATGGTTGAGGCCAGATTTGGGGATGTGTTGACTCGAGATTTGACCCTGCGCTCTGCTGTGGTGTTGTCTGGTACTTGACATCCATCCATCCATCTATTTATTTACCTATCTGTATTTATTTATTTAGCGGAACCGGGGATTTGAACGCAGGCCTTTGCGCTTGCCAGCCAAGCACTTACTCTGCTGAGCCATCTCCTCGGCTCCTAACTATATGTGTCTAGTACAGGGTCTCACAGTGTAGATCGGACTCGTAGTGATTCACCTGTTTTCAGTCTGCCAAGCGTTGGGGTTACAGGCGTGCACTACCACACCGTCTCAATGGCTGTCTCAGGGTGCTCCAGAGGTGGGCCGGCATGGCACTCAGGGGATCGAAACCTGGTCACTGGTGCTCTGCCTAAGCAGGTGCTTTAGTCCACTGAGCTATCTGGCCGGCCCATGGACGACCTTTTTTTTTAAAAAAAAAAAAATTTATTTATTTATTGGGGGGGCAGCACAGCCCACCAGGGGGC